CACATCGCTCTGTCTCTCTCCCTCACTGCCTGTCTGTGTGTTTATGTTAGTGTTCTTACAACACGGGCAGACGTGGCGTTTCAGCGCCAGGACTGGTTTTCTAAGATTGAATCTGCGCCGACCGGGGCTTTAATTACTTTTACAGGCCAATTGGAAACAGCACACGTATTACTTCGGACCGAACCTGTCCTTGTATAAAACGCACGGGGACGTGACAGTAACAATAAACCCGCGTCATGTGACAACCGATGCGCAAACATTCGGGGTGTTAAATCAAATCAAACCTCCCCCTCGTAATTTTGTGTGTGAACAGAGCATCCGTCCCCTGTCCCAGTCCCACCCTGAACCCAAACAGTCTTGTAGTAGCTCGCGTCCAAGTGCTCGCAGCGAGAATTGAACTCACCTCCCATGGACGTCCACTCGAGGTATAAGTAGGATTTATCCATTGGCAAAGCACAGTTTATACAGCCAAGAGACTACGATGGACAGTCGCTTCGATCGAAACGACGAAAAGACTCATCGTTGTTCCTCGTGGGGAATGGCGCAAGTTGCATTTTAGTGGAATGAAAGCCACTGCCAGCGCCGGATGTCACCCTCAAACGAAACGTATAGTTTTTCATGTAGAAAAAAAAAACCTCCGTCAAATAGAAACTCATACTCGATATCTGCTTGTATCGCTAATGAAAGTGGTTCCAATGGCTTTATTTTAATTGCCAGATCCATTTTGCAGTGCACATGAAAGGGTCGCTGCCCTAGTGCGCAGACGGTGAACAAACGTCTATGTATACGGACAATACGCGTGCGGTATACTCGGGAAAGTCATCGGAGACATTTCCTCTGTTTACCAGAACTACACGAATACAATTTGTTCCACTCTACTTAATGGCCGGATGAACTCTCGTGCCAATACTTCAACCCCAGGAATCGTCTTAATCGTCAAACCAGCGAGCAACCAACTAAATGAAATTAATGCCCTGGAAACATGACCATATAGTATAACCAAGGCATTGTCCACTTTATCATTCAAGCCCAGCGTACGGTCTCGGATTTCTTTTCTGTTCCGTTCTTTTTTTCTTTTTTTTTCCCCTCACCAGACATTCTCCAATGCACTCGAGACCAAAGCTTTCCAGAAGCCCCCAGATTTCCATTTATAAAATTAGAGGTTGGTGGTGAGGGCGCTTCACCACAGTCTGGAGGAGATGCGGGCCGGTACACACTGCGGTTGTATGGCAGGCCAGGTGGAGTGCATTTCATAGCGTCGCGCATTGAACGTTGACAATATCAAGATAGATTTCTTACCCTAAGAGCAGTTTTTATGAACGAACCGAGGCGAGTGCACACACTGTGCACGGACAGCGACGCGTCGTCTCCGTACGTGCGAAGGGTTATGCATACTGGACTTTCTATACGTCTTGTGTTCAAAAGTCGTGGGACAGGGAAGATATTTTGGACATGCAAGACGACTGTGTGTGGTTTGTCAGCCCCGCGAACGACGTAAGTACCGCTGTTCAGGTCTTTGGTAATGAAGTTAAATTTAGAAACTCTAAAAAATGGTCTTGTGCAACACCTGGACTTCTTATAATGACTTGTTTTGTAGGTAAACATGCCAAGTTGTCCCTAATGAATGGGTTCTTAGTAGGTTCAGACACTGTATCGATGTTCCCCGGTTTAACCTACCGTAATGTCTGGGACTGTTGAGGGGTACATGTTCCCATTCTTGACATCAGCCTATCCATGGCGTGGAACACAGAGAATTGAAGATACCTCATGAATGCGCTGTTTCTCAGTCACGCTAACCTAAGTATGAACCGTGTGGCTCAGAGGTGAATTGTCAAAAAGTTACTGAAAGAGAAATCTTAAATCTTGGTATTATATTATATTAGCCGGCCATCGTGTAGACGGGTGCGTGGTTTGTCTCAATGTCTGGATCCATGCCTTCAACTGGACGCTGATACCTTAAAATGAAACGTAAATTGGCTTTAGAAAAAAATACAAATCTTGGTATTATACATTATTAGACGGCCATCGTGTAGACAGATGCGTGGTTTGTCTCGATGTCTTTATCCATTCGTTTAACTGGACCCTGACACTTCAACACGCAATTGAGCCCATTTCAAAAGACGGCAAAATGGTGACATTCGAGGTCATGACAGTCATGAAACTTTTAAATTTGTGGCGTTTGCCCCCATGCACTGCATTAATTAACACTGCAGCTCTGACATGTTGTGTATCTTAGGATGAGAATATCGCAAGCAGCGGCAGACCCTAGGCTATAACCTCTGTCGCATTATTGATAACATCGCTCTCGCGTCTGTCCATTCTACCTGCATGAACAAATCTGAAATGAATTTCTCGGTACTTCTGGATTTGTAGAAATAGAAAATCAGCGAGAGCAGCTTGCCACTGTGGGTTTCATTCTAACCGCCACTCAAATACAGTAAGTTTTGAAAACACGAAATCCCTAACTGTAGCTGTCAGGAGGATTCGAGTGACATCTGACTTTTTGTTTGGAAACAGCAGGCCGCTGCAGTGCCAATCAGCCGTTCACTCGAATGAGAAATGTGTTAGTTCATCCTCAATTCAGTGGGTTTGTGCCCACTGAAGAGCAAGTTGATTTTAGCAACTGCGCACCGGTATTTGTCTCACGGTATTTTAGAGTGTTTTTAAATGAAAACAAAAATACACAAATGTTTCAGTCAGAGAGGGGGTTTACTGTGTATGTCGGATGTTAATATGAACGCGTGCAAGGATTTTAGCAATATCAATGTTCACATACAATGGAAGAAATTCAAAAGGATTAATTCTGTCGTCTGGCATGCCTATCAAGGGACAATACGGACCTAATTTATTGTAGTGTTATTACACATGTTTTTTTTATCCTGTCGTTATCTTTATTTCTCATGGTCCAAATCCCACATGACCTGCATCGCTTACTCGGGCACGATGTGTCGGCAGGTTATGACACAGCGCGCTGCCTATATAAGCGCGTGCGGGTTATTAGTGCACTGCCGGCCTATTCGCAGTGGATGTTTTCATTTTACGCAGGATTTCCTCGGGGCAAAATCTCGCGAGATTTCCCCCCGAGGTTAAATTAGAAGGAGGGGGGAAGATCCCAGGACAAATACCGGAGCAGAGAAGGCAGCGCTGATTCCTCTCTGGTTCTCCTCGCTTCAGTTGTTGTCAGCCAAGGAGTGCGTCAATAAAATATATTCCAGCAGTGCATTCTTCAAATTCGAAACAGCTAGTTCTTGCGACGCACGCTCAATCCATTTCAGACCAAGGTTACTTCACATCGCGAGCCTAACCATGTCATCTGGTTCGAGAATTCGTATTGTGTTTTAGCGTGCTGCAGTTGAGAAGTGAAAATTCGTTTGTGTGCTGATTACGCATGCGCGCGATGCTCAATGAAATTGAGAGGCTGCGGCTATTGTTGTTTCGCCCCTTGTTAAGTTTGTGGAACCAAATCTGAGACTCGGAAGCTACTTCCTGCCCCCCCTTCCCCTACGCCTCAAATAGTATTCATCGAATTAATGCGATGCGAAAGGTGGGACGCTGCGTTAACAAGGAAAATCAGATTGGGAAACCAAATTTCTCTGTCTCTCTTTTTCGTCGGAGCCTGAGATTTTAGACAATACAGCAGTCTAACTATTGTTAGGGCCGGCGCGTGCTCACAAGTGTTTATCAAATTTTCTTTGAAGGAACAAACACGCCTGGGACTCGAAGTTGTCAGATGATTACTTTGGGCTGTTATTTTGGTCTTGTCGTTGACATTTGCTACAATGAGAGGGACCGAGAATTTCCCGATTTTTTCCCCATGTAGGCTTGTCGAAAAAGCCTTTCGGATGCCCAAGTGCGGTTTGAACGGAAGAAATCCCGTATGGATAGGCCTCTCTCGTGTCCAATGACAGCTTAAGTATGCAATTAGAAAAAGCGTAGATTTGTTTTCCCCTCTTTGCGATCTGACTTTAGTACACCTCTTCAACTAACTCACATCTCATGTTAAACTCTTCAGAGGGAAAGCCTTGCTGTCACTTCACCTCATACAGGGACGAGGGGTGGTATAGCTTCTGTGGAAATATATATTTTGTCGTTGTTGGTGATGTTCTCAAAATAGCACGCTTGCATGTACCGGAAAACGCGATATACGTTCTGTTATTGTTGAGGTGGCGATACCAACTCCTTAGGGAGAAGGTTCAGTTGGGCTAGTTCTGTCTTGTGCCAACTTACGCCGATCTTTTAGGAGGATTCTGCGGACAGCTGAAAGCTGTTTGCTGCACAAACATTCCGTTTATGTATGTCTACTGTAAGTTGGGTCGAGTAACAATCATCTTTCGGGCCTTTATGGATTCATGAACCTTAAAGACACAACAAGTTCATCTCACACCATGGCACAATGTTGAACCTTTTCATGCACTTTGCTGTTATTGTTTGAGGAAACTGAACGCGTGCCAAGCCCTTATCAAACGGTGGATTTAGGCCAAGATGCTTGCTTCATTGTCCTGCGGATAAAAATAACTTGTGTGTTAAATGCCATCAGATATGTAAGCTTTACATAGCGCAGGAGCTGATTTTAGGGAAGGGAAAGTAGTCAGACTCGTGCAATCGTCTCCAATGAAATGCATTGGACTTTTGAGGTACTTGGCACGACATTCTTCATATGTAATTGTGAAAAGTAATACAGTTGCATGACCTATTTTTGTTATATGCTTGTGTAAGGTTTCAAAGTCTAAGAATGCCCTTGTTCAAGCTGTGCAGGCATTGAATGTAGCGGCCCAGCTACAATTCTCACTACTGGAGGAAGGATACTACGGGGTCGCCATATTCCCCCTTCTTTTAAATTTGTAGAAATATCTTTTCTAATCTGTAGGAGTTCACGGCAACCGGGGGGGGGGCAGAATATTTTTTTGGGGGGTGGGGAATAAATCTCCGCACACCCCATTTATGACCACACCACCGATTAATGAACTAAATATTCCACAATTTCTGTTGTTCTCTTCCAGGTTCCACTGTTGGAACTGTGAGTGAGTGGAACGCGCCCAAATGAGGAATAAGGGGCTACAGCTGGAGAAGTCCGAGGTAAGTGCAGGAATCAAATTTTATTGGCTAATGAGGCCGCTTCCACTGTTTCACGACGTGTCAACCGGCCATTGAGGAAACTGTTTCCTCAAACCAGGGACACTTGATTGGCTATACAGCTGGCGTCGTTAGTTGTGTCTCCTCTCTTGTAATTTGATGGGTCGTCGATTTGTGTTACACTGCATTTGGTTCAATTTCATTGGCTGAAACCATTGGCTGATACACTGACGTCACAGCCGTTTCCTCATTTCGTTTAATTTGACTGGTTGACTAATAGACGTCACACTTTCCTCTCCGTGGTTCTCCTAATGTAATAAGGTACCTAGGTTGACGTCACATTGTCTTGGTGACAGCCCTTGTAATTAGATTGCATGTAATCAGTTGGTATATATGTGATTGGGGCAGGGCGAGGAAGACGAGGGGATGTTCCCAAAGGCTGGGTCCGAAAAATTTAGGCTACGGCTCTCAGTAATGCGCGTGTTAGGAGCCACTGGCTATAGCAGTTGCAGCCACTCCTTGTAGATGTGAACATGAAGCCCTGTCGCATCCAATTGACATGCAGGGACACCGTGTGGCTAAATGGAAGTTTATACTTCTATCGATTGCTGCAGTCGCTTTGATGTCATTGTGAACTCGTATTGCGCGAGTTAGAAAGTATTCCGTCATCATCGACATGGAAATTTTGCCACAGAAATTTGATTTCTTTTTCCCGAGGTGCTTCCTCTGATTTGATTAAATGGCTCCGAATCTTTATTGACCAATTTCGGTCCAAAATATCAAATTGTGTAAAAGGTTGCTGTGTTTATAGAAATAGTTTTTATGATGTCTGCACTCGCAGTGTTAAGTTTTTTTTTGGGGGGGTTGTAGGGTCTGAGTGTTAAAAACGGTGTTTTTGATATAAAAAGTGTTCCGAGTTTTATTAATTCGTTTGTTTTGGAACGTTTTCATTCTGAATGCCTGCTCCAGTGGAACAAAGTCATCGCTATATAATTGCGTGTGAAACCATGGTCAAAGTTTGAGGGAGACCATTTGCCTGCGGGGGGTGCTTAAACTCTGGAGGGCGCTCTCTGTGAGATCGCAGAAAAATTATGCCCAGCATTTGCCATCCTTAAGCAATGAGGGGATGACGAGAAACCCCCTTTTTGGTAAAGTTATACGGCTAATGGAAGCTTGACTTGTATCTGTTTAGTCAGGTCATGATCATTTTTACGACGTCACTGATTGTTGGTTATCAGAAATCTTGTGTGGTCAGACTGGGTTAGTAGCTCACTATTAAGCACGGGGCTAATCGGTAGCTTCCAGGTACTCAGGCTACTTGCGCCAATAATTGTACGTTTTATCCATAACCTTTGTTAATCAGCATCACTTCACGGAGTTAGGAAAAAGGTCCAGTTTTAGAGGCAGGAGGAAACCGGAGTACCAAGAGAAAACCTGCGAGAGCGGGTATGGATTTGAAACCAAATGCACTTAAAGCCTGGGCCAAGCCGGGACTCGACCCCGGGCCTCATTGGTGCAAAGCAAGGAAAGAACCGCTACGCTAACCCACCCCCCCCCCAAATATATTGCGATGTGGATTACCTTGTACCTCAATAACTGCGACACTCAACTGCGAATGTTTCGCTTTATTGTGCTGTTTTCTATGCACATGCTATAGCCTATTGAAAATATATACGTTGTGACAGTGCAGAACCCTGCCGTGATCATGCGGGTCTGCCTTTGATTAGAAACACAAGGAAGTTGCCTCAACATCTAGAACAAGCAGCAAGGCCTTATTGGAGGCACAAGAAAGGGAACTCTTCCATTGTGTGTTATGTCAATACTGTTCATGATCAGACGTTGACAGGGCAGACTTGATTTTGAAAAACGGCATCTTAATTAACCAAAAAATAGAGCGCGCCCCAAGAATCGGTCCAATTTCACTAGAAGCCATCAGGTATTCTGTTGACACAGTTAAACTTCGAACGCAACATGAGTGCTGAGGTTCAATTTGAGGTTCATTTGTGATGTTGTTGAAATTTTCAAATATAATTTGTGACCTGGGGTGTTATTTCAGACGTCGTGATTTAAACCTTCCTTTCTCCGTCGGCGTATTTCGTTCTGAAACATGATCCGTCGTGTTTCTAACCTCATTTTACATGTATCGCCTTGACTCGTATTTTACCTCCTGGACGAGGTGTTCAGAACTAATTTGATTTCGCCGAGCAAATGCATTTCGGCAGTGTCTAAAGTAATTCGATATATTTGGCGTGGTGCTGGTGCTTGAAAAAAAGGCATATTTCTATGAATATTTGGGAGCTACTGGCTACCTGAAGAGATCAATTGTGTTTGCCCATCTTAATTGAACTTGAATGGCTATAGGCACCTGGCAAACACCTCCAGTTATTTCAGTGGTACCTCCAACTTCTGTATTGGGAAAACTGCGAGGTGCCTGTTTGCCACAAAAGCGAGTTTTAAATACAAGGGACGCCAGGGAATATTGAGCAATGCAGCCAACGTGTTGTTAGGGTGAGGCCTACTTCGCGAGAAGTAGGGAATCGGGGATGAGAAAAACCTTGCGGCTGCGCCTTGACTTGGTCACGGAGGCGGCGCCGTAGGCTTTCGGTCAGAGTGGAAAGGAGATCTTTGGTATGGTTGAAACATGAGCAGTGAATGCGGCCGTCAGCATAAATCCCTCACTAAGTGAGCTGTAAAGAAACTTAAGAAAACCTTGCATTTGGGGCTGATAACTTCTGTCTGAGATGACGGACCAAACTTTGTCACGTATAGAAAATCTGTGTGATTACTGGACCCTTGGAAATTGTCCCTTTTTTTATTTATAGCGCTGCCAGCTTTCGAACTGCACATATATATCGTGCTCCGGCAGATTTTAATAACCCCACTGGCCTACCAGCCATAGGCTGCTTGGACTTCACATGCGTTCCGCTGGGGAAATTGTGACGGATGTACTCATTAGTCACGGATGTTCTTGCGTGTATGGGGGGAGGAGGGCCAGGAATTGGAATATTGTGGCATTTCTATGTGGTGGACAGGGACTCGGGCACCTGGAGTATGTCGCACAGAACGATTGCGTCGCTCTTCGTTTTCCTGCGCTCGCGCTTTTCATGTGAATCGGCTCGGTCCGCGTTCAAATATGCACCTAGCAAATTTCAAAGCGAACGTAGGTGCACAGTGCCTAACACTTTCCTTTGTTGACGGAAAATGATATAAAAAGTATTCCCAGTACATAATCATGATGCATGATGGGGTGGCGTTGTTTTCTAGCGTTTGAGACTAACTTCACCTCATGCTTGAGCAGAATGCAACAAAGCAGCCGAGTGATGGGAAAACTCCAATTTCGGAAATAGTTGTAACAGCTGATCATAACGTCGACCAAAAATCTCTTGTTTTCGATGTGTTTTGAGGTTTCAGATGCGTCACCATGGAGGATTCCTGAATATTTGTGTCTTTTCCTTTACATTGTGGAACAGTAAATGCATTGAGATATTTATGCGTATTGTAACTATTGGAGAACCATTGGGAGGCCTACGGCAGCACCGATGGTCCAGAATCATTCTATTGTTGTACACAGTAATACCAACATATTGTTAAATAAATTTTATTGTCGCGTGCATAGCCTGATTAGATATCTACTTTGATATCTGTTGACAGTGTCTCTCTGTATTATTCGTTGCACTGGTAAGAATCATGACCACTTGAGGTCATGCTTAGTATATGCCGTGTTTTCTTTAATATGTTTGGGCATATTCTTTCACTGTACAAAGACAGGCACTAGTTAAAAAGTGGGTCCTAAAGCTGTAGGTTGTGAAGATGATGCATCTCAAAGTGGCAGTGCCAATGCCACGATTTTATTGAGGCAAAGTCGATTGGTTACGGTTTCTTGAAGCTGGTTGACTTGAGTAAAGACAACATGCCCTTGCTACCTAATAAAAAGTGGTTTAACAAATGGTCATCTCTTGAACCCCCCCATTGTCATTGCGCGGCAGCTTTCAGCATTCAGATGCCACAGGGTGCCTCCAACCTATCTGAAGTGTTGTAGCCTGGAGCCCATCCCTTTTACAAGTCTTTTACACAAGTCTAGTCACAGGTCCTTTCAAAAGACCCGTGTGAAGTTACATGGTGAGCAATGACAAAGGAAGTTTAACAGTTATGTAGTTACTCTTTGACTTGGCTTAAGGCTTGCGGTGGACTGACATGGACTTGTGATGGATCGACTACATTCCTCTGATGAAGTACCCGTGTCAGTTGTGTAGGGCAACGGTTTAAAAACCCTCATTACTAATCGATCAAGTTCATACATATTTCAGATACTTACAATGGGAAAGAGTTATTTTCGTGTTGAATAGTGGCATTTCTGAAGAGGCCTCTCGGAATAATTACTTGAAGGAGATTTGAAAACTCCGCGGTTCGTTGAGCAATCATTTTGTGCTGTTTGTTGTCATTAAAGGGACAATATAATGCAGTTATTTAATTCAGCCCAAGAAATCGGGCCTCGGTGGTTTAGATCCCCAAATTTTGTTATTTTATTTTTGTATTGCTATTTTTTTATGTATTCTGAAGCCTTTCGTTTCATGCTAGTGAAATTTGCTTATTCATGACAAAACAGGATGTCATCTAACTCACTGAGCCTCGTTGTTGTATTGATTTGTGCACAGAACGTATGGTGTTTCTATATTTTGCTATCGTAAATTTCCATTTCCTTGGCGAATTTATTGTTGTGTGAGTTTATGGCAGCACGCCATCGTGTAACTTTGTCTCAGAAACGTTTTAGTAGAGAAAATTCAGGGTTCAAGATATGGCCATGAAAATATGTAACTAAAAAGGTTCTTCCTTGATTTACGTCACAGCAAGGCCACCCTTATTCGTCTGGAAAAGGTGGTACGATTTTTAATATTGAAACAAGTGCACAATTAGGTATACTTTATTCTAAAGGGCATAAGTAGTTTTCATTCATTAAAGAAAAGTATAATGATACACAAAGCGTGAGTCCCGTAAAATATTGC